GGAGTTTCCTAAGTTGTAACTGTAGTCTGCGACATATCGTAGATGGACTACTTTACACTTTGAAGTGTTAAAGGTAAGTCCGTTATCGTCTGCCTAACTTTGAAGTCGAGTCAGATCCTCCTGAAGTGCCTGTATATCGTCTTGGTTGCGTATCTCTCCATGGTTTTACGTCGTCGGCAAAAAGTAAGTCTGACGTTACCTGTTGAGGAAGATCATTTATGTAGATCAAGAAGAGAAGTGGCCCTAATACTGAGCCCTGGGGGACCCCACTAGGACATTCCATAGCCTGAGATGAAGTGAAATTAACCCTGACCTTAAAGTGTCGATTTTTTAGGTATGAAGTAAGCCAATCGATTAGAGGTGGTTTGATACCTAGTTGTTTGAGCTTATTGATAAGACACAAGTGGTTAACCTTATCAAAAGCTTTTGAGAAATCAAGGTAAATGATATCAACCTTTCCCTTGAGATCGAGGATGTTTGTCCATCTGTCCAACGCAGTCAGCAGGTTGGTTATACAAGAGTAACCCTTCCTGAAACCATGCTGTTGGGGTGAGAAGAAATTTAAGGACAGTAGATAGTCGTTTAAGCCATCGCACATCAGGGGCTCCATGAGTTTTGAAGGTAATGACAGAAGAGCCACCGGCCGATAACTTGAAGGTTCATTGCGTCGACCACCTTTGAAAATTGGTGTGATGTGAGCCAACTTCCAATTTTCCGGTAATTTGCCTCGGCTTAGCGAGTGTGAAAACATCACGCTAAGCGGCGTTGCCAGGATTGAGGCTGCCTCCCTCAGTATGGCAGGATGAACCATATCCAGGCCAGGAGAAGTACCTAGTCTTAAGTGCTGCAATTTACGGAACACCAAGTCAGCGCTTAGGTTCACTTCGGAAAGTTCTGTGGAATTGCAAACGAAACTGTCGTCAGTAAAGTTGATGTCAGCCGGTTGAAATGTTTGAGAATAATGTGCCGCCAGAAGGTTAGCGGCGTCGCCATCGTTGTTGGTCGGGCCGTTAAGACCTAGCAGTTGAGAAACTCCTGTTTTGGCTTGACGAAGAGAGGCTGCATAACGGAATAGGCTTCTAGGGTTAGAGGCGAATTTGTCCATAAGCTTTGTCTGGTACTGAAGCCTGTCTTCTCTTATAGCCTTCGTGCATATGTTCCTGATATGTTTATATTGTCTATACGCTCCGTCGTTATTAGTTCGTTTGTATTCCGCCCAACAGTGCCTTTTGCTGCTTAGCAGGCGAAGGGTACGGTTCTTGATTACTGTAGGTGGCTTGCAGCTTTTGGGAACCGTTTGAGGAACTGAATGGTTTGTAGCACATAAGAGCGTGTGCAGTAAGAAGTCCCAATGACCGTCCACATCGAGTTGAGGGTAAACATCTCAAACCATCTGTTGTAGATAGTCGTGTAGAGCTGGCACATTCAACCGTTTAAAATTCCAATGCAAGTTATTGATGGGGTATCTTAGCTTAGTTTTGCTGACAAAACTGAAGGCTATGACGGCATGATCGCTTTTTCCCAAGAGAGCCAGGATTGGGAGGTTGTCAACTAGAAATTCTTCGTTTGTGAATACACAGTCTAAGCGCGATGGTGTCTGATCGTTTCTCCAAGGAGTTGCCGACCTCACATTTTCGTATAATCCCAAGTCATCGATGAGGTTGAAGAACCGAGCTTCAATTTAGTTGTCGCCTCTAGTATACGGGTGTTCCGCGAAGTTGACTCTAGGGAGATTAAAGTCCCCTAGAATCAAGATGTGTGTGAAACCGAGACGGGTAGAGCGGTATAGTCCTTCCAGCATGCGACTATCGTACTCGATGTCGGCAGTTGGCTTCCTGTAAATGACTCCGACTAGATACCTCGAAGTACTTGACAATCTTACAGAGCACCATATGGATTCCTCAGGATTGTTAAAATCGAGGTTGTGAACTTGGTGCACCTCCAAGCAAGAGCTTATGTATATGGCTACTCCACCCCCAATTCCTGTTTTCCTGTCGTTGAGGAACAAAGTCATCCCAGGTAATGCTAACTCTTGGTCCGAGAACTGAGAAGATATCCAGGTTTCAGATATTCCTATCAGACGGGCCTTATTAGCGTTACTAAGTTCACGTAATTCATCCAGTTTGTTTGGTAGACTCGCGGCGTTCATATATAAGCAGTTTATGCTTTCAATTTGGAAGGCGTGAGCTTCGTCCTGGTTTTCTGTATGAGCCTTATGTGAATGGACAGGTAGCCCACCTATATGAGGTTTCCCGAGGTGGTAGACCCTGTCCTTTACACGTCTTTTTATCATTTAGACAGTCCACAAGTGGAATGGTCAACTCCAACTTGCCTTTGTGCTTGGTCCTAGCCTCATATGGCCTATCCGGGTGCATGGGGATTCCAGGTGGCAATCGACGTCTGTTGGCACGAAATGCTTCCAGAACTGGAGCTGCCATGTAGTACGTATGCGTCCCGTACCAAGCAGCCGAGTAAGTGAGGAGAATAATGCGGACTCAAATTGTTGTCCTCGGTCAGTCGTGACAGTCGAGGGACAACCATATAGAGCTATCCATCGTTCTACGAAGCGGTGAGCAACTGATGGGTATAGCTTCGGGTCATCTGGTGAAACGGTTGATGCACGTGAGTATGTGATCATACCCATGCGATTGTGGCAGTGGTCCTACAATGTCTATATGAACTTGATCGAAGCGAGCATTAGGCGCAGCGAACGTGCCGATGGGGGCAGCTACGTGCCTGTGCACTTTTGATCGTTGACATTGTAGGCATTGCTTTACCCACATACGGACGTCTATATTCATGGACGGACAGACGTATCGTGCAGTGATGAGACGTAATGTAGCTGTGATTCCTGGATGCGACAATCCATGCAGGGCATCGAGGACGAGACGAAGGTAAGTAAAGGGTACGACGGGTCGGGGAAGACCGGTAGAAGTATCGCATAGGATGGTGCCAGAAGTCGTAGTTAGAGTTACTTCCTGATACTGAAGGGACGTAGAGTGTGGTGCTTTTGTACAACTGGGATCGCTTACCTGGGCAGCGGCCATAGCAGGAAGATCGAGCACCGGCAGAGTAACTGCATTCGTTTGGATTCGTGATAGAGCATCGGCAACTCAGTTCGAGTTGCCTTTGATGTGACGGTCTGTCGTGAACTGGGAGATATAGTCCAAATGTCTGCACTCTCGTGGTGAATAGCGGTCAGACTTGGTATGCAAAGCATATGTTAAGGGCTTATGGTCGGTGAATAAGATGAATTGACGGCGCAGTAGGCTGCTAGCAGCTCGCGACCAAAAGCGCTATATCTCGTCTCCGTGGGAGTAAGGCGTCGTGAGAAAAAACTCGAGGGGTTGCCAACTACCGGAGATGTTTTGTTGCATGACTGCTCCTATAGCAACATCGGATGCATCAACCGCTATACTAAGCGTGGCTGATGGATCAGGATGGGTGAGAAGAGTGGCTTGCGCAAGGGCCGTTTTGATCTCTGTGAATGCAGTACGTGCAGAATCGTTCATTTTTAATCTGCGTGGGTTGCCGCGAAGTAAGTCGATTAGTGGTCGTAACCGTTCTGCTGCATGTGGGATGAAACGACAGTAGAAGTTAACCAAACCGAGAAAAGCCTTCAGTACCTTGAATGAGGACGGCACGTTGTACTACTTTATTGCCTGAACTTTGTCCTCGCAAGGTAGAATACCCTCTTGCTTGATAACATGACCCAGAAATATCATTTCTCGTTTACCCGACTCGCACTTGTCTGGGTTAACTACTATCCCATTATCCGAAAGGCTTTGGAGTAATAGCGTAAGATGTTGATAATGTTCATCTTCGTTTGATGATGCGATTAGCGGGTCATCAATATAGACGTGAACAAAATCGAGGTCTCGTACAATGCTATCGATAAACCTTTGAAAAGTTTGAGTAGCATTCCGTAATCCAAATGGCATTCGTAGGAACTCAAACAAACCGAAAGGAGTCGTGATAGCCGTTTTTTTATATTTCCAAGAGCGACTGGGATCTGATGATATGCACGTACCAGACCGATCTTAGAAAAGGTAGCCGTGCCCCTGAGCGATGCCGCGATGTCGTGTATGTGGGGGATGGGGTAGTTATCAAGGCGCGTAACTATGTTTAGAGCTCGGTAGTCGCCGCATGGTCTCCAACTAACCCCTCCTTTTAAGCGCACCATGTGAAGAGGAGAGGCCCATGGACTGTGAGAAGGACGAATAATACCAGTAGCTAGTAAATAGTCAAACTCACGTTTAGCGAAAGCTAATTTGTCCGGTGCCAGTCAGCGAGGTCATGCAGTGACTGGTGGTCCGCGGGTGACTATGTGGTGTACCACAAGATTGGTCACCGATAGAATCTCCTCGAGTGGTTTAGTGAGTACGGGGAATTTCCCGAATAAAGCGTGGAATTTATCGTCACGCGAGTAAGAAGTGCCGAGGATTCGGTACGCGTTCATGGGAGTCTATTATATTAATACTATTCTTATCGTTATCCGTCATGTCGAGTATATTAAATATTATAAAAATAATATAAAAATATACGACAGACGTGGATAGACAAACTATAGACTCACCGAATTGGCTTCTTTGCAAGATTTGACGAGAGGTTGGGGCGTGTTCCAAAATACGGGCTCACCAGTTGTAGCGTGGCGTCGAATCGTGATTGACTACGAACACCGCTACCAAAAAACACGTGCCAAAATATCCATAAAATCCCCCGGAAGCCAAATATCAGAAGGCAGTTAATGGACCAAGTCGAGATATATTTGCTGGCGATCTCGTGGTATCGAAAGGATACCGAGATCGTGTCAGGAATGGTACAGGTGGAAGCAGGAGAAAATAGTACTTGCGTACAGCACCAAAAACAGCGGAACAACGATGGAAGGTAATATAAGCACAAAATGGCTATAATTAGCACAGTTAAACAAAAGCACATTGAAACAAGCACTGGTACAGTTGGTTATAATAATAATTGTTTTTATTAAACCAGTCGTGTTCTCGTGATAAAAGTGAGTCACTACACGGCTGTCGAGTACCAGTGAATGTCTTCTACTTTTAACAGTGATTTTTCACAACCACAATGAAGAACAGAGTAAACTTCTGGACAGTAGTATCGTCCTTTGGTTGCCAGACAGACATCTCGCCGACACCACTAGTAATGTGAACTGGAAAAGCTAGTTCAGGCTTATAATCCCATGTCAAGATTTCTTCAGACATCAACGCATCAAGTATGACGTGGATTTCGAGATATGTGATGTAGTTCACTCGCCTAACTGCTTCATTCGCTGTTATTTTTCGGACGTTGATGTGGACCAGCTCTCAAGAAATACTTTATATATGCAAAGGGAAGCACGTTCCAGACATGGATTCATTGTTGCTCAGGATGTTCGGAAGACTCCGAATTCTCTCAGAGTCTCCGTCAAACAGGACTATATCATCAACGTATTTTAAGTCAACAGTGGATCTTCTGGTACAACATCAAGTCCAGGTAAGTCCGGTGATGGAATCTTTATCCTTAGAACAATGTCTATGGCAAAGTTGAACGAAAATACTGAAAAGGGAGAGCCTCAATAAGCACCAGTTGGTACTATCACTCCTGATGACAATTCATCATGAACTATTAATTGAACAGTAGTATTCGAGTACAGAACCAGCACAAAGTTGATTCGGTTCCTCGGTACGTCTTTCAATGACAAACACAACCGTAAAACTTATAGATGAATAGGGTGAAATACTATCACAGTCGAGTGTCGATAGGGAGTTTTATTTTCTAGGCCGTAATGAAAGATGGATGTTTGGTTAGTGAGCATCTCGTGTTCTTCATACAAGCTATCATTTACATAATGGCGACTGAGTATTTAAAGTATTTCACAGGATTGGGTGTTTGTGTTGACTGTCGGAATTCCCATATCTGTCCAAGGCATTCTCCCATATTTGCCAACAAACCAGCATGTAAATACATAAGAGTAGGCGCAAATGTCCTCCACTGAATACAAAAAAGCCATTAATCATGTTCTAAACAATTATCAGTAATTATACACGACGCAGAAAAGCTGCATCGTTTTCACTGGGTCAGTTGACTAGCATAAGAAGGTTATGAACAACCTAATCAACGAGTTTAAATCTCCAATTATGACAAACTAAGTATAGGTTCAAGTTAAATATAATTTCACAGGAACAAATTGCTAAGTAACGTAAGAAGAGAAAACAACGTTGTATACCACTTCAATCTTTGAATAGTCAAAATCAAATCAAGATGTAAGAAAGCTATTTTTTACTTAAAACATTACATTACATTGGCTTTAATATGAATTATGGTTCTTATAAGCTTATTTACAAGAGGCTTTGAATATTTTATTCATGAATTATATCACTGAAAGTTTTATTTATGTAAACTATTTACCATCGAATAAACCTTTAATTATAATTTTTATTGAAATTACTACAATTCAATGTCTTATGATAGAATCAATATCATTGTCTACATAGAAAAGTAACAAAAATTCTGACTATTTGACAAGTAATTCAATATATTTACGTAATCAATCATATTCATGGCATCAGACATATTGTCATTTCTAGAAAGATAAAACTAAAGAAATAATTTTATTACAACTTCAATAGATGATTCAGTATAATGAAATGTTCTTTGAAATAATACTTCACGTAATATTCTAGTATATGCGTTTTAAATTAAATAATTACAATTAGTGAATTTTATTGATAATTAACATATAAGATAAGAAATTATTAAAACATATCTCCAATATAATTGACAATATCATCTGATTTTGTCACTTCTCCTGCTTCACCTTCTTTTACATTATGAAGATTGTTTAATTCAGCAGCTTTTAATTTGGAATTTTGTTTCTTCATCACGAATGGTAATAATCTATTTATAAAAGAATGTAACAAAGGTATTGGTATATTCGACAGAAATGGATGATAGTTGGCCAATGTAACTAGTTAACTGAAGTTGAAAGTGAGAACTAATGAATACCAACTGTATAATCTAAAAGTAACTCACTTGTTGCTAGTGTTTGAGTCAGTGGTTCCAGTTCCTGGAGGGTTGATCGATGCACTCGGTTGAATGGTTCCAAACTAGCATAAATGTTCATTGATCACTGGTTACCGATAGGTGTCTTACTAATTTCATTCTATTATGTGAACCATCTTCAAAGATTATATTTTGCTAACTACTAATGAACACAATCCAATTAAGTGAAGAGAAACCTAAGTGGTTGATAAACGTAGTGTTTGATGTAGGTCTATGAGTGATAGCAGATGACTTGGTGGGTCACATGCAAATATATACGTCATTTAGTCTTAAAGTGTACATCGTCTAACTATATGTGCCAGGTTAATTTATGTTTATTGTTGGACGTTTTCTTTTTAGACTAGCTTAGCTACTACCAGTCGTGGTTTTGTCAAGTCTGAGTAGATTGTCAATGTTACTACAACTTTACACAAATTATTTAATAATTACGTAGTACAAAGTTCCTTCCATTAAAAACTTTATGTGACATTTAAGTATCTGTCGATAAAGATGGAAACTTCATACAACCAGATCCCTTGGTCAATTTAAACATAGCAAGAACAACAAAGTTTACAGAATAAAATGAGTTCATTCTATTCCACAGTTTTTCATCAGTCGCATACAACCTCAAATTACAATCACGAATATAAATTCTGTAAACATTGTTGTCCTTGCTCTGTTTCAAGATTGAACCATTTCCAAAAATCTTACATTATTTTATTAACTGCTAGGACTACTGAAAGATGTGGTTGTTTTATCTGGTTGTTGGGCTAGTTAACGTGAATTATTTTAATCAGTCTTGGGTTCACAATCTGTATGGAGTTTCTAGTATTCTCTTCTTATGCTTTTCCAACATCTTAATTCTTTGGAAGCATTTATGTCAGATGGTTTACCGATGAATAGTTCCATCTAGAGATTATTTTATATAGGCTACTGAAAACAAGACACCACACGTTAGTCATTTCTCATCTCATATGATAAATTGCGTATCATCTAGCCATTGAGTTTAAATCTAGTTGTCTCTATTTTCAAGTTTTAAATGATAGTACGAAAACTGATTTTCCCAAATGAATGTATGTGCATTAATAAACGGTTTATTTTGTATTCAACGATAACCATACCCTATACGTTCTACACACCAGACGTTTATACTTTGGGAATATTTTAATCTCGTTCGTTTATATTATCATTGGCAAAAATTGTTTACTCATCAACTGTGTGTGTTTCTCACACCGATTTTTATTTTATACAGGGAAATTCACATTAATTTTAAGCTACTTACAAGTCAATAATGAGTGTTATTGCCATTATTATGACAACAACGATGAATACTGTTCCTGGAAATGTCAGTACTGTTCCAGCATATATTGCAGGAAGTGCTGTTAAACTGATGAGTAAACCGATTCGAGAGACAAATGCGGCAATCGATTGCATAATGCCTGAAATGTAAAATAAGCGATTATATTTTATTATATAATAAATTATATTCAACAGCTTAATGAAAGAATATCTGTGCACCTAGTTATCTTTCATAACTTCTGTATACAATGAACAATTGTTTATGAGTATCTGTCATATTCTGTCTTCGTATTTTGAGTTTGGAATCAATGATCAAATTTGGTTCATATTGTATAAGTAAAAATTTACTGTGTGGAAGAACTTCTGATGTTTAATTTCACTTCACTTAAATCAATCCCAATTATTAACTTCCTACTTGAACTATGTAAATAAATTAAAACAATCGAACTAAATTATTTACCTTGTATACTTGAATGGACACTAATGGAAAGCATTGTTCGAATTATTGGAACAAGGAAGCTTTTCATCAATCTGGGAATGGAAGCTAAAATTTGAAAAATATTGATCTTTAATAATAGTTTATACATTATAAGGAGTATATTTTACGTGAAAAACTGACGTCCATCAGACTTGAATCTGGACATTAAAATAATAGTATGATAATCCAGGGGTCTTGAGGTTAAACACTTGACCATTCACATGAAGGACTTTACATATCTATTTAGAAGTGATGTGAATATACATAGTTGAGGTTCCCCATAATTGGACGAAGCAAACCTCTTGTGATGATTATCGGTTTCAACAGTTGTTTAACCAAGATAAATCTCTGCGATTAACAGAAATATTCAACTCGCATTTATTGGCAATGTTCTCAGACCTATTTTTTAATGCCTACTGACAATATATGATAAATATTTATTTCGACTGACAGTGTGAATAGTGTTAACAACAGAGTCATGTAAAAGACCGATCGATGAGTCGATTCGACCCACAGTTATCCGATCTGTGTCAGCAAATCAGTAGAATTGGCAATCAAGAGTTTTGTGTTGGTTGAGTATAGAGCATGAAACAGTAACGTTTTGGGTATTGTAATGAACTGAATTTCGATTTGACTACTGTGTGAGAGTTCCTAAATCTTACCTGATCAAACTAGAGAGACGACAATACTGCTCATGAAACTGGATTGCCAAAGATCTGAAATAAATATTGACAACTCATTTGTACTTATTCATTGTCAGATTGGTTCGAAGAAGAGCATATAACAGTTTTTGCTTGAGCAATCGAAGTTGAACATAAAGATAATTAAAGTTTGATCAAGATGATCAGTGATATTCTGATCTCCGAAAAGTTTGAAATCTCTACATCTCGTGCAGACTGTCTTCGTGAGTACACTATGGGTAATTCTTGAAAACGTTGGATGGTTGAGTGTTTTCAGTGATTTTGTGCCTTGTTATAACCATTGTGAGAAACTGTTATGACAGTCAACTTATTTTTGAGAACCATCTTAGCAAAAATGACATATTTCTAATTTAAATAAAGGATCCAAACATCTTGGAGCAATTCACCTGAATTTGTGTATGCTTATTATATAGGCTAAATCTGGAAATCGTTATGATAATTATTTTGTCTACATTTATATTGGTGTGACGTTCATTAATCAGAGGAGAGCATGATTTAGACTAGAAATGACGGTGGATGATTCTGTTACATTGTAATGTTTTATATAATTTCTGATATTTCTTCTAATGCTACCTAGACAAACAACAGACCAATTAACAACTATTATCAGTCACCTGAAACCGATGTGTAGTTTTATGGTTTATTCGGAATTGTATGTGCATGCTGATGAGACCATACTTGAAATTTAATATGATTCAAGGGTGATATGGTCACTTATGAACTCCATTGTTTATAATGAGAGTGATAAACGAAATATGGATTTTGTTAACTTGGTAAATAATATTTCGACTAACCAAATTTATATTAATCAGCCGAATTTATAGTGAAGACGGATATATATTATCATGTATTGGTATGAACAGATAAACTGTGAGAGAAATGAATAGATGAAGAATGGGTTTCGAGTATTTTCTAACTCCTTAAATAACGTAATCTATCAAGTTTTTACAAAGTTGTGAATTTATAATGATTAATGGACGAAGTCTCGTACCAGTCTTTCAAGTCGACTTATTAGATGGTTGTAAATTCGTCTTAGTATTTATCTTTTTTCAAGCATATGAACGACCTGTACAAGGAATTTGTGAAGAAGTATTGCACTCCCAGTCTCACGTTTAAATCCATAAATAGCACATCAGTTTAATGTTCCCCAAACACAACTGACAGAATTAGTTTGTGACTGAGTTTGGAATGTAAGAACAGTAGATACATAAATTAATATGACTTAGTTTTAAATATATCCAATTCATTGGTAAAACAAAAACAGCTCTCAGCATTTAAGTCATGTGTTTAATTGAGTTCGAGTGATTGATATATATATTTATTGATGATAAAATTCAAAGCATGAAACATTTACCGATATAAATTAAAATATTCGCAGTTGGTAGTTGAAATCGATAAGCTACTCCGACTACTGAACGATTCACTATTAACATTATAACTGATGCAGCAAAAACTGTAATAAGTAAATGCATTTGACGTGTATAATGATTTCGATCACTGTTGTTTGTGGTATTTTGTTCTGTGAGAGCTTTGGCCTTTCGCTTTTCGTCAAATTTGATAATTAGGATAGTACAGATAATTGAGATGAAAGCTGATATCACATCAGTTACGCCACTACAGAGTATTGAATAAATGAAAAAGTGGAGATGTGAAGATGAAATTATTATTTCGAGGTAAGTCTGATGCTTCAGCTACTCACTCACTTATAATGTGATGTTTCTGTTTATGACACTGAATGATGAGTGTTTCAATCCAATGGAAACCATCATTTCGCTGAAGAATCCAGGTACGCCTAACATATAAATATCTTGTCTATCGGTGCTTTTGATACATGTGTGATTGCACCAGAGCATATGACAGTGACATATGGATTGGTGAGAGCCTGAATGAAGTTTAGTTCAACTGGAAATTAGTACAATGATCAATCATACTATTTCAGAGTATAAGCTAAAGCTAGAGAGTGGTTGTCTAGTAATTGAATAGTTTGACATTCAACTAGTCGGTAAGAGGATGGAATTCGATTACACATAATCACGTTTGGAGGAACGTATAGAACGAGCTGTTCTTATATACCAACTATGACCTAATGCAAGGAACATAATCGTGCACATGTTGATGAGTTGAAACGTTGTTCAATGGACGTATTATTAATTAGAAAGGAAGAGATAAACATTTCAGAGATGTTTTTCATAATTCGTACTATACCAAACAAAATTTTTCGAAATTAACATTGTGATGCTTTAGGAATGTGAGGAAAGGGGCATCAGAACAGTATGAATTGTTGAATCATCGAATCACGTTATATCAGTTAACTGGAAATTCGTGCACTAAATCCAGGGTTAGAGAATAAGGGTTATCTAATTTGCTTTAATGTTTGATTAATTCTAATCACGTGAGATGCAGATGACTTCATTTTTATGTGATTAACTAAGCATTGAAATCAGTGAATCCAAACAAAACATCTTACATTTGTTCTGGAATCCATTTATTACTCCCTTGAAATGTGAATTGTCAAGTTTAAATAGATGCATACTATTTATGCAAGTGCTCTTGTGTTAAGCTACACACATGTTTCGTTGGAAGTTGTGTAATTTGAAGCGATTTCGAATAAGGTGGCAAAGCTAAACAAACAGTGTCAGATACTTAATAAGTTCCGTTACTCTCGTCAAGCCTAAATCAATTTGGTGTGCATGAGAGAATAAAACACCTAGTTTATTCTCACAACAATGGAAATCTCATGCAATTTTTCTTTCTGTCTAGCTACTTGTTGCGAATTTGTGTATCATTTTAGTATATACAGGTTTGTTATAATAATGCTTAGTGAAACTAAATTGATTTGTAAGTTTGAGACAAATGCAAGTGCATCAATCGATATGACAGAATATATTGAGGTTATTGTCCACTGCTGAAAAGCAATTGACTGAGTAAATAATTTGCATATTTGACTGAGAAGTGTTTGCTTTAAGAGGAACTGTTGTAAAATTGCAGAAACCAAATATATCATCTGATTTGAATTCGAGTGAAATACTTACGAATATAGTCCAACGGTTTCTGGACTCCACAAGAATGGAGGTCCCATTAAATAAACAGCAACATACTGTAAGTCCGCTAAAGCTGACACTGAACCAAGTAGAACCATTGACAGAATCATAATCACCACAGGATCTAAATTTTTCAGACGCTGAAAAGTAAACAAATTATGGACTAGTTAAGACGGATTGTTCTCATGCACGTTTGACACGAAACCTTGACCAGTTATGAAATTTGTTGCGTAAATCTCTATCAGTCATGCAGAAAGACCTACACATTAATGATTACGCAGTGACATTCGTTTATTCTTCACCCAAGTTTATAAATGTAGAAAATCGCATGAAATCACGTTTGGATTAGTCAGTGATTTAGGTGAGTTTAATACATATTGCATATATGATATAGAATGAGTAGAAACGTTTTTGGATCTCATAAGTAATTGATTATTGATTGCATAATGTTCATACGCAGATAAGTGAGAAAGTCATTTTAAATTGATTTCTGATGGAAATGTCACTAGTTGTTTATGTTCAAAACAGACATGATTTTTCTTTTGAAATCTATTGACCTTTATCAAATGATCATGATGTAGATGGTAACTTATCTGGTTTTCGTTTACATGCTTCGAATGATTTTGTTGATTCAGTAATTTATTGATAAACAGATTAAGATGAAGGGTCACTAAAGTCCCGATTTATTATGCATGGTAATCATGGTATTCAGTTTTGCACGATATGACATGAGTGACACAGAAACATTTGAAAATAGTTTTAAGAAGTAATTACGATGGTTATTATGATTGCGATTTCTGATACAGTTGTTGTCATTCTACGGCTTACACCGTGAGATAATGTACTGATTCATCTATCCAGTCAGTTGTCTTGTAAATATGAAATGATCCTTCCTCGAATATATCACGAATCGATTAGTGACGTATGACAAATTATTTAACACTTGTCGCTGATAAAGGAAATGGAGGTAAATGAACAATGGAATGCTCTATCGTTCTAGTATGTGACTTCGCAGAGGTGGATGCACTCAACCACACTGGAGGTGAAAACCTGTAACTTCAATTCTGAGTTTGTTTGCTATGTTTTCAATGCATTGAGTTTGGTTCGAGTAAGTCACATTTTCTACTGCATTCAGGTTGTGATATAACTCAAGTAGAGTCACTTGTTCCATTTAGTGAGTGATGGTGAGTATCGTTTGTTGATTCGATTGAAATGAAGATGGAACTGTTGGTCATTATCGCATAGTTTGAAACTCTCCATTACTCTACATTTATCAGACCACGGTGTATTCAGTTGTAGACTTGAATTTATCTTGAACCATTGACGAGACTTCATTTTTATTGACATATCGCAAGCGCTATTCAATAAAATACACAAGTGTAGTAATATCCTAATGAAATACATTGTTGGAATGCTCATAATATTGTGTATGGATAGCTTGCTAACCCATATGATCAGTAATATATTACGTTACCATTCCTGAATGGCCATACATTTTATCTTTAGAACACCGTAGAAATGTTATTGTAATGATACTCTAACAAAAGACAAGAAACATAATAGCTGAGAAAATAAATGTCAATCGACTAACTTGAAATGCATCTGTCACTCTACTTGTTAACGTCCTTTCGAATTTCATTGGTATACTTCGAGTATCTTCATTTGGATCATCATTGTTTACTTCATCAAAAGGCTCTTCGTCCTGTACAACAGTTGGTTTGCTTTTGTTTTTATTCGTTTCGGGTAAACAGAATATTAAAATTAAGCTTGGAACAAGTAAACCTAATGATGTGAACATGGCTACTTGAAATCCATAGTGATAGATTAATGCTCCTAATAAGGGAAATAAAAAAAAACACTTTATTTCTAGCGACCTATGTTTAAAATTCAGAATTACTTATACATAAACTGTGTACTGTTTTTGATCTAATTTAGTTACTTTGAAAGTTAATCGATTTCTGTCGAATGAAACTGAACGCGCAATAATTGAATTTATGCATATTTAAATGAAAAATGATTTCCACTAGAGATAATATTAGTAATTTCGTTTATGAATCGTCTTCTTATATGAATCTAATTGAAAAGACTTTGGCGTGCTTTTACTAGGAAATTCTTTATTGTATGGGAATGAAATCAAATGAAATCCGTTCAGTTAGTGTTCAGAACAGAGGATGGATTACACCAGAAATAATGTCCGAGATATTGTCAGTGTCTACAAAGTATCTCATTGAAATGATGTTGAAAATCTATAATTCAGCTAAATGTTAATGTCTGTATTGCATTCACATATTCATAAAGTAAGTGTTGATAATTTTGTCTAGAATGATATTTAAATTTTCGTAATGAAATCATTGAGATCAGATGACATAATGCAGCCAAGATACTTAAACGTTTTGCTAAAATTTAATTTACCTTAATTGATATATAAGCTTTTTTTAAAATATCAGTATAAAATGTTTAAAACTTATTTCTCAATTAACCTCCAATCGGTGATCCTGCTGATACGCATAATGCAGCTATTCCATCAAAAATTGTAAATAATATCCACATTTGTTTATCAGAGGACTTAACATTCTTTTTATCTGTTTTTTCCATTGAATACTTCATGGATAGATGACAAACGTCTACTTGGATTGTGGCAACCTGAGCAAAGAGTGATAAGAGACCACCACCGAAAATTGCTTCCAAAAGTCCAGGGAGTAAAATCAGCCACATATTCAGCTTCAACAACACAATAAGACCTGAATCAATAAGTAATTGAAAACTTGAATTACTTCAATGTAATTGAATGTAGATTGAGGTTGTTTACAATACAATTGATTCGAAACAAGATTAATTTCAGTGTATTTTAAACTCTATAACGATGTTACATCAAATGTATAGTCTGAAGTGGATTTTATGTCATAGTTTTGTATTAGTGTGGTGTGTGCTATTGATGTCGACAGATACAAGTAGTATGCATCACAAACCGGAAGTGAAATGCCTGGTGGCAGAAGTTTAAGAAGACCGAAGAGAAGATAACTAGAACAGAGAGGAATTGGCGTGAAAACGAAGGGACAATCAATTCTGAGACAAGTGACATATTGTGCAAAAGAAGTACCGATTGTATGGTCCTAAGATTTTGCCAAGATATTCTGTTATGTTGCTCAGAGTTACGTTTGGTTTTCCTCATCTGTGTTCTTGTTCACAACATTAGTTTCTCGCTTACATAATACAGAAATCCAAGGGTCACTATACGTTTCATGATAAACACTGTGAATTGGTAAAAAAGTATTGCGTTGCATTCAACTCAGTCAGTCAGCTACAACGTAGGACCAGGCACATATATGCATTCAACTGATCGCAATGATAGTGACAAGTATTTCATATGACAATGAACAAGTATTATCATACAAATATGTTGATGAAGTATTCTGATGAGTTGCTTGTTCTCCTCCACGAGGGGTAACAAGCGTATGTTGACAAAATGAATGCAACTATTGTTTGTAAAATGAAATATATCAACCTTATTTCAAGATTTCCAAGTACCTAAAAATAGAATTAAATTAGAAACAACATTGTTATTGGGAAAAAGAAGAATTAACATAATTCGTTTGATGAATTTAAGGTGTATGTTTGAAAGGGGAGAGTACATTGTGATTGCATAAACATAACACAATGTAATATTGAACACTCTATAAACATGTTTATGCTTATGTTTCTTTTAATTTAACAAATAGACCTTATGTACAAAATAAATACCCTCTTTATTACAACTCAGAATGGATTTTACAATAGGATTATTCAAAACAAACTTTGTCTAGCACTGCAAAACAATTGTGATTTCAGACCTTGGTAATTTGAGTATGTGTATACTACATTAAACAAAATTGAGATTGATTTGTCACATTACCTCAGACCAAACCAAATAAGAGACGTTAATCTTAACATTCTGTAGGATTTTTTTCTATTTAAATACTCTGATGTAAAGCATATAATAACGTACTATAAAAGGTGTATACTACTTACCAGTTACACCAACATGCAAGACCTCACCGACTAATAAAATTCCAAACGCTGCTCGACGACCGTATCGATCAGACAAATAACCCACTAATAAAGTGGTAATCAATCCAATTGTTATACGAACTGAGTTTGAAGCCGCTTCAAGAGTTGCAGCTTTTTTCTGAGCCAACTTGAGTTTATGTTTATCCACATCTGATCTGTATTGAAACGCATCGATTGATATAAGTGAAATAGTTTTCAATAGAACCTAATCTTATCATTAGAGCATACTTAAATTTAATACACAGTTGTGCTGATTGAATTACAGTATTAGCAGACAATTGTTGGCAAATTTTCAATCCGAATTACTGTGTTTGTGAATGTACTTTAATGGGGTACAATAAAGAGATAGGTTATTGGGAAATACTAAAGATAATTTGTATGTAACCCGATGGTATCACTTAAGACAATAAGATTGATTAATTTGCATTGAGCGTTTCGACGAGATTAAAAGAATGAATACTTTAGCTTAATGATAATTATCAGAACATGTGTTGTGATTACACTATATTGTGTTTTATTAGAGGCCCTATATCTGACTCCAGGTAGATCGTATGAATGATTGTTCTTGAAATGTACATGTCACTAATCCTCGTATATAATCATTGACTCAAATTGCATTGGTGAACAACAGAATTAAATAAGTCGAATACAATAATGGGTTTTTGAATATGTACATTTCATACAATCGTTGACCGGGAAGTGAGGTAAAACACAATGACGTGTGATGGAAAAGGAGAGTGAGCCAACTCAATTTGACCAAGCATGAGTCAATATTTATAGCCCCCAAATGCTTCAGTATGGTCGAGAGCAGGGTGAGCCCACCCTTCTTCTCGAAATGCTCTCACACGGCCACGCGTATAAAGCTTCTGCCAGGGAGGTCCTGCTCACTGCCTTCTAGTGGCGTGGGTGTTGTTTACGAAAATGAGAGGACGAAAAGCGAATGTCCGGCGCCTTAACCGGATTCCAAACCAATGGTGCACATGGGCTCTAGTATCCTCAGGAACAAATGGCGTATGAACCAATTCTTGATTACCGGCCACCACGGGACTGCACCTCTTCACGATGCTCCCCTGCCTTGTGGGTCAGACCTTAGGTCAAAGGCTCGACCCACTAAGAAAACCACCTGCTTCGGTCTGGGCACTCGGGCAGTATCACAGCACACACACAAACAGAATGAAATGACGATCCTTGCGGAAAATACTATTCTTACTTCCATTAACAGTCAAACGATTCTTCTTCTTCTTCTTCTTCTTCTTCTTATTATTATTATTATTATTATTATTATTATTATTTAATACGTCACTTATTCACTCTCTTTTATTCCCTTATTTTATTTATCCTTATTTTTCGACTTATACAGCAGCTCACTTATGGTGAAAATTCGGTTCTGTCTAAACGTTCTCGAGTCAGTGACTGGTTGAAAATTAAATGCTACCACCAAATACGAATACTGAAGCAGTTTTTCTGAAACTATTACAAATTCGCTTTCCATTAGTCGCTTCAAAAAGCTTGTTTTATGTGCGTTTATCAGGGGACCTTGTGGTATCTTCGTCTCGTCTTGCTGGCGTTGATGTCGCACTAAGCGCTAGAGCCGAGGCAGCACTAATTGGTTGGATCCCCATTAACAGTCAGTTATGTGCTGTTAGATTACAAAGTTCCATCAAAGTGAGAAGAAATCGGCGTGAGAAACGATGTCTTTTATCATCTCCGCCTATGCCCCGACAGATTGCAGCCCGGATGCAATCAAGAATGAATTCTACCACCAGTCAACTGTTCTCCTCCAGAAAGTGCGTTCGACAGATATTGTAGTACTAGTCGGAGATTTGAATGCTCAGGTCAGGCGTCTAGGCACAGAAGAGAATCGTTTAGGTGGCCGATGGGGACTTGTTGGTCAAAAGACAGATAACAAGGACCGTCTACTGCAACTGTGCACAGATCACAACCTGTTTCTGGTGAGCAATAACTTCCGGCACAGTCATCGCCGATGTGCCACCTGGCGTCCTCCCTCTGCATCTCAAGCCTGGACTCAGATTGATCACATCGCGATCAGCTACCGTTGGCGTGGTTGTGTACAAGACTTCCACTTTTTTGGAGTATATATCTGGACTCTGACCATGCCTCGGTCTGCGCCGATCTTACCTTACTTTTCAGTGGCCAACGAAGTGACCGCCACCAAAGGATCGATGTCAACAAGTTGGTTACAACCTCTGTTGCAAATAAGTATCGAACCGAGCTAGCTTCTAGGTTAGCTACCATTCCACCGAAAAGTATGGATAAGCATTGGTTGCAACTTCATGACGCCCTGAAAATGGTGAGTCAAGTCACTTGTGGGTTCGTGAAACGTCCCGCTTATAAGCACTGGGTTTCTGCAGGTTCCTTACAACTCATTGAAGTCCGTCGGTCTACTCCGGGTGACCGTGATTTTGACCACAAACGAAGGATGTTACGTAATGAAATCGGGCAAAGCTTGCGTAAGGGCCGAGAAGCCTGGTGGTCGAAGCGTGCTAATGAGCTGGAAGCAGCAGCTGCATCTGGTAGCTACCGGAAGCTCTTCCAACTCATCCGAGCCACTGGCAGCAAGAAGTCTGGTGTGAGCGAAACGATTTGTGAGGATGAAGGGATGCCAATCACTAACATCCATCGACGTCTTGGACGATGGGCAGAATTTTTCGAAGGGCAGTACAACTGGCCTGCTGCTCCGGCAACATCGGTCGGACTGTCCTAACTTCCCTGGCCGGTGACGACTGATCCACCAAGTGAGACGGAAGTCTGCAAGGAACTCCAACTCTTGAAGCGTTACAAATCACCTGGCCCAGATGACTTACCTCCGGCTCTTCTTAAAGATGGTGGTGACTTTCTGACTAAGGAACTGACTGTGTTGTTTACAAAGGTCTGGGAGCTCGAGAGTGTACCAACGTCATGGAATGAGTCGATAGTTGTCCCTATCTTTAAAAAGGGTTCATGTCGTTCCTGCAACAACTATCGGGGGATAAGTCTACTTCCAATTGCGTCTAAGCTATTGGCTTCCGTCATACTTTGTAGGTTGTTCAAAACCCGAGAAAGATTGACTCACGAGGAGCAGGCTGGTTTTCGTTCTGGTAGAGGATGTGTTGATCATATCTTCACCCACCGCCAAATGTTAGAACACCGTCATACTTATCAAAGGCCAACAATCGTAGTGTTTATTGACATCAGGGCTGCCTTCGATTCGTTGGATAGGATTGTTCTCTGGGATTGTCTATTGAAGAAGGGTGTGCCTGAGAAGTTCATTAACATCCTAAAAGCCCTATATACAAACACCTCAGGCAGAGTGAGGGCATACAACCACCTCTCTCCATTGTTCCATTCGAGTAGTGGGGTTAGGCAGGGTTGCCCAATCTCACCATTCCTCTTCAACTTTGCCATCGATGACATTCTGGAAACAGCTCTGATGGATGTAAGTAATGGTGGTGTGGATCTGTTGCCTGGAGAAGGACTTCTCGACCTTGAGTATGCGTATGATAGTCTTACTGTGCGATAATGCCCAAGGCATGCAATTTGCACTTAATCAGTTGGCAATCAGTGTCCGTAGGTATGGTATGTGATTTGCACCTTCGAAGTGCAAAGTACTTCTACAAGACTGGCAGGATTCCAATCCTGTACTCACCCTGGATGGTGAGCAGATAGAAGTAGTCGAGAAGTTCATGTATCTAGGTAGCTGCATAAGTGCTGGTGGGGGTGTGAGTGATGGGATCAATGCACGTATAGTGAAAGCCAGAGCGGCTTATGCCAATCTGGGCCACCTTTGGCGCCTTCGTGATGTTAGTCTGGCTGTGAAAGGTCAGATCTACGACGCGTCGATGAGAGCAGTTTTGCTCTATGCTTGTGAAACCTGGCCTCTCCGAGTTGAGGATGTTAGACGACTCTCTGTGTTTGATTATCGTTGTCTCCGAAGGACTGCTGACATCCAGTGGCAACACCATGTCAGTAATGCAGAGGTTCGGCATCGTGTGTTCGGGCACAGAGATGATAATCCAATTGGTGTCACCATGTTGAAACACCGACTTCGGTGGCTTGGGTATGTTCTACGAATGTCGTCCCAGAGAACTCCACGTCGTGCATTATTTGTCGACTCTGGGACTGGTTGGAAGAAGCGGAGAGGTGGTCAGTGTATGACATGGTGTTGTGGTATGAAAGAAGGCTGCAAAGGGCTGGCTTGTGTTGGTCCTTCACGACTCCCTGGCTGGGTCCGAGAGATGGTGCAACATAGTGGCTAGAGACGTTATCAGATATGGCTCAGAATAGAAGCCGATGGCGATCCTGCTGTAACCTTCTTTTACTTCATAAAAATTGGTTGTATCTTCCTTAACTGAAAGAATTCTTTTGGTCGTACCTTTCCGTTTCCCTCATTATTATTATTATTAATACACTACCTTACACTGATCTGTGGTCGTTAATGTTCTTTTTTTCTCTTATACGCTCCTTACCTTCTTTTTTTTCTTCCCATTGTCAATGTTTTGTGTGGCGCATATATATTTAGTGCCCCCTTGTACCAATATTTATGTGTTCAAATTAATAAATAATAAATAGTCAGACAAAAATAAGTTACCGACAAGTGATGAGTAAGATAAGAAATACATACAAATGCGCTTTGATAAAAAACAGTCGAGGTTGATAAGTGAATAATTAACAAGGTCAAAATGTGATTCAAGAAGAATGAATAAATCAACCTGTTCCTAAGCTAGAATAAACTATCTGGGCCCAGCTCCTACATTTTGACTAAATGGTATTCTTTATGTATAGAAAATAGAAACAGTAATAAGTGTGCAACACAGAATCTAGCTTCATTATGACGCTTGCGACATAGATATACATGAGGAACCTAACAATTCTGCAAGTAACTAACATGTGTGACTCAGAGACACTCTAATACAGCATTTAGTATCAATTTCATTACAGTATTCAAGAATTCACAGTAGCAATAAAGTTTATCACAGTAATTTGTTCTATATTAACTAACAGACAGTGTTGAACTGGTTACAATTTAGAGATTGGTGGTTCAAAGCATCAAACTTCCTGTACATGCTCACGATAATTGTTGTATCTTTCAGTAACTTCGTTACACCTAAAGTATATCTCAACATTATCCAATCGTTAACCAGCCTCAATAAAATCCTAATCATTTCAAGCCTAAATCTCATTACTTGCTAGGTTAGTTAATTGGAACTTCTCAACTCAATGAGTAATTATGAATTGCGTCAACGTTAGTCAATAATATGGTGCATTTCTAACAAAATGTCAACTCACATATTTTTATATCGTTGTCTTTCCTTCTTTGTGTAGTAGGGAAGACCTTGTTCAGTGACAGCGCTGAAAATGTAAAAGAAGATTAAGTTGTTATATAATATACCACTCCTTCTAATGATTGTTGAAAATTCTAGTTCATTCAAATTCCATGAATGATGTGTGTCATTCATGTTATTTCATGATATTTCCAACTGGAGTGCATTTAACAAAATATTACGTGAAGAAAATAGGTGTTCCATGGCCGTAAGTTTTGAAATTTATCAGGTGAATTGTCTTAATTGCTGCCCAATCGGGTTTTATTACTGGCTGACAAATATCGGAGCAGAACGCGGGATTATGATACAATTAAATCTCATGCCATGCTTTTCAGTAAAATTGGTAAATTATGAAACAACACTACATACCTAGAAAAACACCGTGTTGATTGGATGACGTAACAAACACGTTACATTGTTTTCTATGCATACCGACCTATGAGATATGACTTAATAATCTAATCGGTTTTCACCAAAATTTAATTGTTTCTGGTTAGACACATAACTTCAGCTACAATGCAGTCGAGATCTATTTTGATAAGACCAAGTAATAAAGCATCCTAAAGCCAATATAATCTTTATAATGAAGACAAATATTAAATTGGTGAATAACTAATGAGTGAAAGCTGATAAAAAATTGTCATGGTCGTTTATTTGTAATGAAATATTATTGGTAGAATAATTTCTTTCAGAAAACGGTGCTGGCAACTTTAAATCCACTTCAAATCATATAAACTAGCATTAAATAATCATCTAACCTTCTTAAAGAACTGTTGTACTGGTGGATTCTGTTAACTTGATGAGCAAGTTTTCGACTGTTGAAATGAAAAAGAAAGTGATGACCAGTGAATGATCATCAGTGATGTGTTGTGGCTGACTTATGACTGGCTATGAGATTGCATTACTGACTTAAACCTCCCAACTGGTTTGAAATCAAGGAAAAAATCATTAACCAGAAGAACAGTTTTCTTATGCGATGAAATGACACGATTATATGCAAGATATTACCACAAAATAGCATGATAGAATGTAATAGACGGTTAGATGCTGTTACGTCGTAGGTCACTCGCTCGTCAACTGAATACGATTTGATTGTTAGACTTGATCATAGAATGATATATCAAGTACATTCTAGTACGTGCTAATGAACTATGTGAAAATCTACGTCACTCAATATAGGTGTTGTAAAAACAATAACATTCAGAACTATAATAATGATTATACTTACCTATAAAACACATACTGATCAGAGATAAACAGATTTAACTCAACAGCAAGATATAAAGTCACTGTTATGATTATAAGTAGACCAATTACCCTAATTTTCAGTGACTTATGTTTGGAGTCAGTCATGATCACAATTAAACAGTTGCGTGAGTTTGTTAGAATTTGGCTATTGAAATTGTTCTGGTAGTTTTCATATATTCACTTGAATAGGCTTTCCTATTTCATGTGCTTGAGTAAACTACATAAAAATATGTTTTTTTTAAACAACTTTATCCTAAAGTAGTTCACTGTGTATTCTTTATATTTTGATTAGCAGCTGATGAAGTTGGATGTTTTTAAAAACACAATCTTTATTGGCTATGCAAAATGAAATTGAAAACATTGAGTAGTAAATCAAATCAAATAGCCAATCATTTATTCACGTGTGATATGCGTGATCACGTTACATACTCTGAGACATTGACAACATGTTTTATGAATAAACTGAATGAACTCTATTTAGTAGGTCATTTTAACTATGTAGTTACAATCTTAATGCGTAAAACCTGGATATAAATAAGTAGAAAATTAGTTTCTGACATGTTTGGTGATGAGAAGAGCGGAATAGAGATGAAGTGATGACAAGTTATGAAAGCCACCTTTTGGAATATTAGTTCAGTCATTTCATAATCTCTAATTACCAACATAATTGGGTATAGGTTTCTTTATATTCGTCTTTTTCTTCTGTTGTCAACCAAAAACTATTGTCGTTACAGATCCATAGTAAGCGAATAGTATGTTAATTTGCACTCAATGTCCGTTTGTCGTGCATTAGTATTCTCAACATTATAAAAAATGACCTAGTTCATTAAAGTTATTAATCACTTCCGAGACAAATCTCCCTGCATGTTTCACTACAAAAACTTTGGCAGACCAAGTTTACGACACCTGACGCACCAACATTTGTTTGTAAAGAAATTAGAATGATTTATTCTCCCAAAATTAGCCATTATCTTGAATACAGCTGAATTTTCAAGGAAAATTCATTCCATAGCACAAGGAATGTGGATGAACATGTAGATTTCTTCAACTTTTAAATATGATAGAATTATACAGTTATCAAAGACATAATGCTCCTGAATAAACTCCCGTTGTCTTCACTCATATTTCAGTGTTAATGATGGAGGTGACATGACAAAATAAACAAACTATTTGTATAAAAGCATCACGAAGTGATTGCTTTCAATAACATAGATTGCATCTCGATGAGATATAGTCTCAATTTGTAAGCGACAATAAAGTATAGTTAGTATTTCAAAGTCATCTATAAGGTAATTTATTAAACAGCAATAAACACATGCTACTTGTGATTTCATAACACATTATAACAAGCCCTAAAATCTCATAGAATCTTTCACAATAGGTTATGTTACCATCTGGAGATCAACAATGGCTGTATTGCTTTGATTTGTTAGCACATTTTGGAATAATTATTAGTAAAAGCATTATTATGAAGACAGAAAACTTTTGGCTTTTAACAATGCATGGCAACATTATAGACAAAATCATTTCCAAACTTCATGATTCATTGATTAGCAATAAAAAAGTTTATTTTCATTGCATAAAGAAAAAATTATGAAAGGATAGTGAAAAACGGGTATATCTTTTAACCTTAAGATTTATAAATGTACATTATGATATTCGAAAGCATATATAAATTATATAATATGTAAGGAATGAGCAATCGGGAAACGGCTTTGATCACAGATAATGGAATGAAAAACTTTTATAGAACTAAGAGTAAATGGTTGTATCATTGGACTTCGGGTCACCTGAACTGGTTCAAAACCCAAACCACATGAGAAGAAATTCAGATCATTCAAATTTGTGGTGGACACTATATGATATAGATTTTCTATCATCTAATTTTATTGATTGAATCCCTGCTCATTATTGAAACAATTAACCCTATATAGGAAGGATTCCAACATGAATGTTATTTATTTCATTTTGATGCGGTTCATTTGCGTTTTATGATAGTCAACATATACGTATTTGACACCGTCTAACAATAGATAGAAAATCAAAGGTTATTTCGAGTTCTTTAACCGTTAATCTGAAGTTTAGAATGGAAATGGATACATAGTCAACATTTGTTGTATAGAATACTGTTACATTTGATATAATTCAGTCTGAAAATATCACTTCGCTATCTTTAACTTTATAGCTTAATTGTCATTCTGATGTAAAGCTTGTAATTCTTCGGTGAGTTATCGAAAAATGACTTTTTCCAGCGAGTTTTTACTTGATTGAGCCCAACAGAGAAATAATATTCCATAACTTCTTCATCTTAACTTATTCTAGATTTACTTGTTTTGGATACTGACTAGTTACTGTGTACATGAGTGTTTTTTTAAACTAATCACTCACTTTTGTGGTGTCTGAATTTTGGTTCAAGAGTGAATCTAGATTAAAATTAATTTAAGATGTATTTCTGTGACACAACTGTTTTCAGATTATCCTGTTTCCATCAATCTCTATCAAAATGTTATTCGTTACTAATAAACCAACTAAATGAATATTTAGTAACTTAACAACGCATTAATTAGAATTCACAATGTAGTGAACGAGAACACAAGTGGTGACTGTATTTAAATACAAAATTACAGAAAGTCTTAGTAAAATCAGATATCCATTCAGTAAATACTTTATTTACAAACTATCAATCAATCGTCTCAGGCTTGATTGTTCCTTCGTTTCTACACCAATCATTCTATGTTCTCGTTCCCTTTTCTTCAATCTTCTTAACCTTCTACCATCAGGCATTTCACTTTCGATTGATCATACATACTATTTATATATGTCGACATCAGTAGAACACACTACAATTAGTCTATAAAATTATCGATTTGTGAATAATTTTATTATGTAAATTTTTCATTATGCGTAATTAAATATGAAAAGGAAAATCGATATCTAAAGTCATTTTGTAAAAATCAATTTGAATTTATTTTAAAAAAATGAAATTAGCAACAAATCATTCATGATGTTAAAATTTTGAATAAACCGCGTAATTTTTATACTCAGGTTGAAATATACATTCAATTATAACAATAGAAATAATAAATTATCATTTTGTCAATTTATATAAAAGGTAACATTAAGGCAGTTACATTATAATTTCATATTTCTTCAAGTAATAGCAGGATATGATGTTAGAAGTAAATATTATTACTACTACCGATGGCAATTATTGTATTAATGAACTTACGTCATAGATTCATTAAATAAAACTACTATTTATAGTGACTCAGTTGATGTGATAAAATTATTGAAATACTTACTTACTTACTTACTTACTTACTTACTTACTTACTTACTTACTTACTTACTTACTTACTTACTTACTTACTTACTTACTTACTTACTTACTTACTTACTTACTTACTTACTTACTTACTTACTTACTTACTTACTTACTTACTTACTTACTTACTTACTTACTTACTTACTTACTTACTTACTTACTTACTTACTTACTTACTTACTTACTTACTTACTTACTTACTTACTTACTTACTTACTTACTTACTTACTTACTTACTTACTTACTTACTTACTTACTTACTTACTTACTTACTTACTTACTTACTTACTTACTTACTTACTTACTTACTTACTTACTTACTTACTTACTTACTTACTTACTTACTTACTTACTTACTTACTTACTTACTTACTTACTTACTTACTTACTTACTTACTTACTTACTTACTTACTTACTTACTTACTTACTTACTTACTTACTTACTTACTTACTTACTTACTTACTTACTTACTTACTTACTTACTTACTTACTTACTTACTTACTTACTTACTTACTTACTTACTTACGCCTGTTACTCCTCGTGAAGTAGCACAGACCGCTCAACAGCATTCTCCATCCAACCCTGTCCTGGGCAATCCTTTCCAGCTCCTTCCAGTTGTAATTCATCCTTTCCATATCTGATTCTATTTCTCGACGTAATGTATTCTTTGGCCTTCCTTTTTTCTGCTTCCCTTCAGGATTCCAGGTTAGGGCTTGTCTCGTGATGCAGTTTGATGATTTGCGTAATGTATGTCCTATCCATTTCCATCGTCTTTTCCTAATTTCTTCTTCAGCTGGAAACTGGTTTGTTCTTTCCCAGAGAAGGCTGTTGCTGATGGGATCCGGCCAATGGATGTTGAGTATCTTACGTAGACAACCATTTATAAATACTTGTATCTTCTTGATGGTGGTTGCGGTAGTTCTCCAAGTTTCGGCTCCGTACAGTAGGACCGCCTTGATGTTCGTATTGAAGATTCTCACCTTGATATAGGTTGAAAGTTGTTTTGAGTTCCGTATGTAAACTATTGAAATGAATGAAGTAGTTTAAATGATCATTTGTCTCGCCAAAACTCCTTAAATCATAATGAGTTCCTTTGTCGGTTAGTTAATGATTAATCAAAATTTTAAAAAAGTAAGGTTATGAAACAATCAATGATTGCTTGTTTTAATTTGTTGTAGAAGCTATTTTTTGAACAGTGAAACTTATGCTAACTAGTAAAGCTTTGTAAGTTCCTGTAGTAGATTATCTTCGAGATAATTCCATAAGCTTCATATATCAAGCGCCACGATAGCTGTTACTGAATAAGTCCCAAAGGCGTATGAATTCGGAAATTAAGAAGAAGCGCTGACTACAGTTCATCAATGAATAGAACAGATGACTTAGCTATATACACACCAAGCAAATTCCTGCACAAAAACTAATGCGCGCGAGCAAGCGAGTGAATACAAAGGAATATTAGAGGTGAAATTAGGAATAGTTGGATCAATTGATAAGATTCAAGAGAATATACATATATACATGAGAAAGACAATGATTCATCGAGTAATTTAAGCAATAACATTTAAGCTAGAGATATATATGGGTAAGTTGTCACATGTGATCAAACATACCTGTTCATTACTTACTTACTTACTTACGGCTGCCACCCCTCGAGGAGAAGCATAGGCCGCCCATCAGCACTCTCCAGCCGACTCTGTCCCAACCGACCCTTTCCAGTTCTGTCCAGTTTCTATTCATCTTTTTCATGTCTGCTTCCATTTTCCAACGTAATAGGTTCTTCGGTCTTCCTCTTTTCCGCTTCTCTTTAGGAGTACAGGTTTGGACTTGCCTTGTGATGTGGTTTGGTGATTTCCTCAGTGTATGTCCTATCCACTTCCAACGTCTTTTCTAAATTTCCTCTTCAGATAGAAGTTGCTTTGTTACCTCTACACATTAGGATGTTGCTAATGGTATCCGGCCAACGGATACTGAGTATTTTGCATACAAAATTGTTTATAAATACTTATACGTTTTTGATGATGGTTGTGGTAGTTCTCCACGTTT